TGATTTGAAAAATCCTTAGACTCACGCCAGCTTACAAGAAACGTAATGCCCAATCTCCAATGAGAAAAAGTCCTGCGAAATATCGCTGCGAAATACTTCACGCAACAAATATCTTTGAATGCTTTAGTTGACCTCACGATATTGGAATGTAGAGTTTGGAAGGGTGACAAAGAGACACGGAATATGATTGGCTTCTGAAGGATTTCGCAAGCGAAAAGCGAAAAAAGTTAAACTCATTTTAACTTTTTTTCGCAGAGAAATTCTTCGCGAGAAATCCCAGCAAAAGTTCACTGCGCATGCCTAAGAGGTATTTCGTGCGAACTTTTTCGCATTTCGCTGATTTTCTTCTCACTGGAGATTGGGCTTAACGCTCCTTTTGACGTTTTCAAGTGTCACCAGTTAAATGATACTTGAGTTATATTTGTAACGCTATGAGTTTTATTCTCAGCGTGATGTTGGCATAATTTAAAATCCCTTTAATCTAATGTTGGCATATCTTTGAATGTCTGTTTAAAATATTTACACCTGATAGACATCTGTGCATTAAAGTATTTTGTTCGAAAGGTCATTGCTTGGTCTTTTATCTATGCAATGCCAAGGTGTTGTCAGAAGACAAACGTTTGTTACATTGATGCAGCCGATACAACTGCAAGCTGATCCCACTACCAGAAGAACTCAACTTACTGTAAGTCTTTCTTCTCAGCCTAAATATTTTTCTGTTCCAGTTAAGGTGATTCTGGACGGCTTTAACTCTAATGCAGACTCAGAATTGTGCATCTTTGATTAATTTTCGTGTATAATGCCAAGGTAAGAGCATCGTCTTTTATTCAACTTAGAGTCATCAGGAAAGTTTAGCATCAGCCGTTGCTACAGATACAAAAAGACAGACACTAACACACATGCAAATATTATCAATCTAGTCTTGTGTACTCGTCGTTGCAATATGGATAGGTCGATATTTATCAAATGCAAATCAAGTTCAATGCATAATGGTGAACATAACCAAAGGCGTATAAGTTTGGTAACATTTGAAAATACGCGGTGAAAGACTTACAGTATCAGATTACTGGATTCGATTTTCTTTTACTTGAATATCCATGGAACAAGTTCATGTAACATAGAATATTGTAGCAGTTTTATACTGGTAATTACATTAAATCTAGATGCTGATTCTAATTAATATTATACGACTTGAATACAAAAACAATGCAACAGTGCCAACCACCATTTAGTATTGATTCTCTGATTTCTTCTTTCATATTTGGAAATATGGGGATTATATGGAAATCCCTCTGACTCTCACTAGCTCAATTGGAGCTGTCACCAAAAAGAATATTCTGACCGTCCTATTTCAAGTTTATGAATAATATTTGTTACTGGTAACAAGGTTTTTCTACTAGCAATTTGGTAGTAAGCAGACAGCAAAATGGAATTCAACCTGACTGGAGATCAGAAGAAAATGATCAAGGATTGCTGGACAACATTGTTGGAAAAGAAGGATGGTCTAGAGGCAGGAATGCTGATGTTCTCGAAGTATGTTGAGCATTTAATTAATCATCTTATCCAACTTCCCTCAAGATATAATTGTTTTCTTGCAATCTTATGCGCTTTCAAAAGTAACCGCCTTCCTATAAGAGATTCTGTGTTTGATCGGCAATGCCTCCCCTAAGCTTTAATACACTTTCCCACAAATATACGTCGTAAGACCTCAGAGACAGTCACAGATTAAGAATAACTGGTTGCCATTAAGGGACCGGATTCTGAGCATACAAAGCATCCACAATGGACTTAAAAGGAGACAAGGTACTGTTTGCTAATGTTATGAAAGATGGCTATCTATAAAGAAGCAGAGAGGCAAGGAGAAAGAGTGATAGAGAATAGACTTTATTCAGAGATCGGAAAAAAATTTTTCTTTTCTCCGGACAATGCCCTCAAAAGATGGTTGTAATAAAGTTGGATATTGGCATTTCATTTTAATTCCATCGATCTTCCTTACAAACATTGACTTTTCGTTCACCTTACTTCTTGGCTCTGGCCTTAAACAGGAATCAAATATTTCTTGCAGATTGTTTGAGTCACAGCCAAACCTGCAGAGCTATTTCAAATTTGAGCTTAATGGCCAGAGTCTTGAACTGAAATTGCACGTTCGCGCCGTTATTGCGACACTAGACAAATGCATTAAAAATTTAGATGACTGGAGCAATGTGGAGGAGGATTTTGAGCAACTTGGGATGATGCATGCAATGTTGAACGTAACAAAATCCCAGCTAAAGGTACGCCAAAAACTGTATTAGGCCTTCCTCACAAACCTGGACATGGTTTTGCAGAAAGTTAGTCTATAAATCACAATTTTTTCAAAAAATATTCAAAAACTAGAATATTACTTGCTGTCAAATTACATTGAGCAGAAAATTGCAACCAGTTTCAGTTTTAAAACATTTGTGAGCCTTGTTACTTAGTAGGAAGCCATGTTACTGTTTTTTGAAATTAATAAAAGTCAGAAGAAAAAGGGAAATTAAAATGCAAAATAAATTTGTTTAAGAACATTTACTACTTTTATAATCGATTTTATAATGAGATAAATAATTGTTTCTAATTTTTCTCAATTGATTGTAAGTAAATTGCAACAAATTGACAAGAATTATAACGCTTTTTCCATAATACGTTCAGTAATTAGCATGTATAAATTGATTGGAAAGCAAAGGTCCAGAACATGACAGTTGCAATAAACTAAAACAAATTCTTAGAGATTTGATAAGCCATAACAAATCAAAGCTACTACATAGATCGATATTCATTTGTAAACCCAATGTTAAAATATGCATCATAAGTTTGCAGATTGAAAAAAATTTTCATTTGCGAAATCAACAAAATCACCAAAAACACACTGCTCATCAATATCAATTTCCTACCAATCAATATCTATCTTCTACCAATCAATATGTATCACCTACCAATCAATATCTATCTCCTACCAATCAATATCTATCTTCTACCAATCAATATGTATCACCTACCAATCAATATCTATCTCCTACCAATCAATATCTATCTTCTACCAATCAATATGTATCACCTACCAATCAATATCTATCTCCTACCAATCAATATCTATCTTCTACCAATCAATATGTATCACCTACCAATCAATATCTATCTCCTACCAATCGATATCTATCTTCTACCAATCAATATGTATCACCTACCAATCAATATCTATCTCCTACCAATCAATATCTATCTTCTACCAATCAGCATCTATCTTCTACCAATCAATATGTATCACCTACAAATCGATATCTATCTCCAACCAATCAATATCAATTTCCTACCAATCAATATCTATCTCCTACCAATCAATATCTATCTTCTACCAATCAATATGTATCACCTACCAATCAATATCTATCTCCTACCAATCAATATCAATTTCCAACCAATCAATATCAATTTCCTACCAATCAATATCAATTTCCTACCAATCAATATCTATCTCCTACCAATCAATATCTATCTTCTACCAATCAATATCTATCACCTACCAATCAATATCTATCTCCTACCAATCAATATCTATCTCCTACCAATCAATATCTATCTTCTACCAATCAATATGTATCACCTACCAATCAATATCTATCTCCTACCAATCAATATCTATCTCCTACCAATCAATATCCATCTCCTACCAATCATTAATTAGGTACAAAACCAAGAACAAATTACAGATACCGTAAAGGATCTATTAAGCCCTCGGGATGCGTATTTTTTTGCAGTTCTAGAGGGGAGGGGGCTTAAGAGAGAGGGAGGTTCAAAAGAGAGAGGGGACTTATTTAAAATTTGAAGCAAAAAATATTTTTTAAAAATGCTTTTGGCCAATTTTTTGTTATGAAGATGCCATACAAATGTTCTCAAAAACTTTTCTAGCAGCTTCGAAAGTTTAAATAATCAATTATAAGGTCCTTATCTTCATCAATATCACCAGGATAAATTGATAACCCTTTGGCATCTTCAAAACAAATTTCGACTGGCAACTAAGTCGCATGAATAAATCTTTACATAGGCCGTATTTAATGCATTAGATATTATCATCATCACAACCGTCAAGAGACCCACTAAATGCCCATGTTTTCTATGTTTGACATCGAAGGCTAAAGGGAGGGGGGGGGCTTAATAAAGAGGGAGCTTATTGCTTGATAAGGGGGGACTTAGAAGAGAGAGGGCTTAATGGAGAATGGAGGCTTAATATGGTTTCTACGGAAGTTAATCTTTGCAGAATAACATGTTATTGCTATGTTTTAGAGTAGCATGATGCTATACAAAATGAGTTGAGTGTTCCTTTTAATATTTCCGTGACAAGTTATTGATTATGTATAGTGTTCTATAACACATTCTTCAGACAGACTAGTGGACAATACAAAACTTTAGGATCGTCAATTTCTGGGAGGCTAGCCCCCTCTAACCCCCAATTTGTACCACCTCTATTAAAATATGTCGTCACTAAACTGTGTTTTCTTCACGGCAAAATTACATCGTACATCCAAAATGCTTTAAAATCATTTGTAACCCCCCTCATACAGCTTTGATATAGCTTGCTTAAAATTGAATGGTCCGAGAGAAGAAATACTTTGTCGAGAAGTCTATAGAACTAGAGTGTCTAACGAAACGTAATCGTACCTGGCAATTATGATCTAACTCTTATCAAACATTCTGTGTATGTATGATTGTAACGATCTTTAAATGTAAGGTAGCATTTTTACGTCAGTCTAGATAACATATTCTTCTAGGTATTGGCGGATTGTTTTGATTGGATGATGGAGAAGTCATTAAATGAATATTTCACCGACGAAAGAAGGGAAGCTTGTGCGGTGTTTATCAAACTGGTTTCAGAAACAATGGGGAAAAACATGTACTAGGCCATCTTTGCACGATGACTGCATTCTTCGTTTATATTAAATCGACAATAATTGTAATTTACATATTTTTCTGCTGTTGAAATACGAAACACTTTACTTCTACAATCGAACATGTGTGAAGAAATCATTCTGTTATAACAAACAATGTTTTGGTCTTTTATTTACGATTTAGCATTGCAACTTTTGCAATCATACAGTCCAGATCGTAAGCATAACATAAACATGAAATATGTTTGGCATGCAATAAAATATTGCTTGCATTCCTGATATTTATTATCAACGGATCAATAATGTAATTGAAAAGCAAGACGTATTAAACTGTTTACGTTGACATCTAAAAAGTAGAGTTTTCGAGTATCAGTATCCAAGAAAAGTGATCTTGAGTAATGCTGTTTAACAATTCAATCTTTGAGTTTTGCTTAGTTGTTTTCTTTTTATCTTTTTGTCTACCAACAGAATCATCTAGTGCCCAAAGCGAGCAATTTCTTCATATTTAGAAACAAGATTCTCCTATTTTTCATTGAAAAGTTCTCCTGGCTTTGCTTTATAATAAAAGATCCTTCGATTCTAAATGTCAACAAATATTCTAGTTCTGTCTTCACATCTAACATAACAGTCTTTGAGACACTGTTCATGTGCCTTATTTCTTCAAAACGAGTCAGCTATAGAGTTTTCCAGTCAATATTTGCCAAAACATAGTCGTCGAGTCTCTCTCTTTACGTAAAAGTCTTTGAATAATCATATCCTGAAATATAGTCTTCAAGGTAAGGCATTAACCAATCAGTTTTCTTCTATTCTAGAAACATAGTAAAGTAATTTTTGAGTCTTATAAACTGATACAAACTCTTTGCGTGATCATCTGCAACAACAAAATGGAATGTTTCAAGTCTTCTTTCCCTGACATATTGCAATGCAAACTCTGCTAAGGTAAACTTTCCTTGCATTTTCTCTAGGGCTGGTTGCCTAAAATTTAACTCACAAAAAGAAAGTAAAATATAGATGATGTAAAAAGCTAAATTTTGAATTTAGACTTAAAAAAAATTTAGATTGCTGAATATTTATAATTAATGAAATATCACTTGTATAAGAAATATTTAAAATTGATTGAATGAATATTTTTCTGTTTTAATAAAGCAAATGTCACTCAGAACCTGTACAATTGGATCTCACAATTGCATTGAGAAAAAGCAGATTTTATCCTATGCACAAGTGCTGAGGATTTTATTATTAAGAATCAGTGAATATTAAATAATTTGACTTTTTACAAACTAAATTGATACAAAATCAATGGCTATTTGATTATTATCTAAAACATAACGTTTTTGCTACCATATGAACGTTTATCAGGAATTTAAGCATAAAGCTCATGAAAACTTTGTATGAAAAGATGATGGATGTTGAACTAAAAAAATAAATTCAAAAATGGGTCTTGAAAAAAATTTCAATGATATTCGATTGATAATTTTCTTTGCAGCAGCATCTTCAAAATGGGGAAATTCTTATTCATTTTGAAGAATTAATTTATTCTTTTATACCTTTTTAATGTAACTGGTATTTTAATGTAACTGCTATTTATATTTTGCTCAGAAAGGACTTTCCAAGATATTAATCCAAATACGTAGCATCTTCAAAAGCTTTATTTTAATGAGATCAAGTCAGGGAGCGAGGAAACTGCTTTATTTTGAGTTTCATTGTCAATTTGATTTTAAAATGAAAAATTTTCATTCCTTGTTCTATCAAAAGTAGATTTTTTGAACCTTAAACTAAACTAATTGTTTATCTAAAGCGCAGTAGGTATATCTGCTTTTGTTTTATTTTAAGTTGTCCATTAAATTAGAATGATACATTCATTTTTGTGGAGGATCAAAATTTCAAATTAAATTTACGTTGTAAACAGGTGCAAGAACTTAATCTTACTAAAGTTGCAAGATGGCATGCTAAGAGTTAATTCCAGTAGTAGCTTCATCCGATATAATATCTTGGTACTTGGAAATTTGTTCCAAAAGACCTTTTAACTAGACTGACTCTTTGGTTTCAAAACTGGATGGACAGAAATATTATATTTTGAGTATATTACATTTACATTGCCAATTTTCAATATTACATTATTACAATATTACATTGTCAATATTACAGAAATATTACATTGTCAAGGACAATGCAAATTCAGAAGGAATTCAAGTTTAATACATTTCTCTGTTAATGAAAATCCCACATTTACATAAAATTAGGCATGTCTTCTTTGTAAACATAATACATAATGCAAAATTTGTCTGATTTAACGATTGGGTCGTAACAGAAAACAAATACAAACTTATTTATAATGCGATGTGATAACTAGATCGTCTATCTAGCAAAAAACTGGGTATTCAGGTTAAGTTGCTCCTTAATATCTAAAATAGACAATGATCCACTGAGGTATTCGATCAAATGTCACTCAAAGTTTGTCGCACTTATGTTTTAACTTGGTCAGTGTCGCATATCTTACAAATGAATACTAGATAAGGAATATTGTCAATGGACAATCAAAATCAATCCATTTGTATTTGCCAATCAAAGAATCACTTTGTACCCACCTTAGCAAACACTAAGTATGGCACAAACTTTTAGACATATCAATTAGCTATTATGAAGACAAATTTATATGAAGAGAACTGGGAAAGAAGTGTGTAGAGAAAATTCCAGATAAATTAGAGAAAGAGACCATGAAAAAAAGAAAAGATATGCTAACAGATAAAGATACCATTCTTTTATTTAGTTCAAATGCTATTTGTATTTTGTCTAGTCGCCATCTCAAATTTTTCGCTTGTCACTAAAACCAAAGCACAGGAAATAGACAACAACAAAAGCAGTTTTCTCAACAACGTCGATAAGTTGGGCCAAAGCTGGAGGTTATTGTGCGACACAACTAAGAAAGGTGCAACAAACGCCTCGAATTGAAGCCACCTTGCTTGCTTACAATGTCTAGCTATCAACCTCTACGCAAATAAACAGACCAGCAAGTTTTTGCTGTTATTTTTCCTGTTTCCAGCTAATGATGGCACGAATTGCGACAGTTTGTACAGTCGATATTCGTAAAATTGGTGCAATTTATAGACTTATTTTGTATAATATACAAAATCATACACCAGTTGCAGGGACCAGTTTTTTGTCGATCTTCGTTGTTCCTAAAGCCTTTGAATTTCACAGTTTATTGCAGATCCTGTAAGTCCGGGGAATGGCCTATCAGGCAGCCTTCCTTCATAAGGTCAAACAACTCAGCACACTTGTTATAGATTTGCACTAAATTTGCACTTAGAACTAAAAAACCATCAAATTTGCACCAAATTATAATTAAGTGAGAAAGTGATAAATATTTTGATAATTCGAAAGGGTTAATCTTTGAAAGTAAATGAATACAGGTTACCTTGACTACTATAACAATAGGCAATGGCTGACATGTTAACCCAGCAGCCATCGCACGACAGCTAAACTGCTCAGCGTTAATAAAGTTGTTCACAGACAAATATTGGTGCAGCTGGATGTATGCAGGTCGTTCGAGTGACCCAACATGCTTAGGTGCAGGCAGAGACATTCCTGGATGAATAAGACAAAACTTGTGAGCAAGGTTTGCACCAAAAGTCAGCATCGGGTCAGTAGGAAGTGGAAAGGAGCACTATGCTCTTGCAAGTCTCTCCCAATAATGTTCAAAAACTACTTCGTTGATTTTTCGTTTTTTTAATTAACACGAGTTTTAGTTTATTTCTTGAAGAAAACCTAAGTTTTACACATGTATACTGCAGAAATATTCCTTTGAAGTGTACTGCGACTGACCTGCAGCGTGGGCCAGTTTGTGATATTTTGCATCAGAATTCAATCGATAATGTGTACCACGAGTTTTCAAGCCCATCATTTACAATCCTTTGAGATGTAATTAGGGAACAAATAATGCTGTGAATTGCTAAAATCAACATTTTCATCTTGTCATTGAATGAAAAGTCCCAAATTTTTGCGATAAACAATGATACTCAATGGCACTGAAAGAGTCGTCTCAGAAAACGACCGTAACAAAATAAGCCCTGATTCTCAAAAAATGTATCACTGTCCACAAAATAAAGCGCCATAAAGTTGTGTTTAATAAAGCGTGTGACAAAAGTTTTCCGTTAAAATTTACCAATACTCGCAAAAATTTCAAAGCTTTGAGACTGTCCAATAACATGTTAAATTTTTAAAATGTTTCAATCTTTATTTCAAGTAGTGTTTGATTAGTTTTTGCTACAGACATACGCCTAATGGCTTTGCAAACGTAACGCGAAGGCAAATTTTGATGACCATGTTGTTCACAGCCCTGCCGCCATTACTCATTTGTCAAACCTGTGGAGCACATTTGCTCACTGCGCGTAGTAGTCAGACCTGGTGCATGCCCAAAAGCGTCTATATTCAGTTGTGTGACCAGATCGAATAAAGCGGAGCCAGATTAAGCTATCGAGTGGCTGTTATTGACACTAAATCTGCTTCCTAGGCCGTTACGGGGTCGTATGAAACAAATGACGGTGTAGACTGTTGCTGACAGAGAAAGTCGGGCTCGAGCGCTGGGAGAATTGAACTGATTCAACTTTGCTGACTGTTACAGTATCCTCAACCCTAATACTTTCAATGGAGACACGCGACTACTACAGCAAGCTGTTGACTTAGAAAGCTTACGTTTCAATTTGAATTTTTCCAAAGCATGATTAGAAAAATTATTCAATATAAGGTTTCTTTCAAAGATCCTCTTCGGGGATTGCTTTCAAAACAGCTAATGTTTGAATCATTCTTTAACGGACTATATTTAATATGCAACGGGATTTTTTTCTGTCACATTCGTGTAGCCGAATATTCTGAAACGGGCCCATGATATGCTGGAGCCTCATTATTGCCCTTTTTATTTCTTTGAATCCAATCTTATAAAATTGATTTTGTTTTGCTCACGATACTGTTCTTTATCAACATTATTTCCTTTTCTTGCACTCATGTTCCTTGCTACAAAATCTCAAAAACCTATTGTTCAATTTTCACCCCTTTCTGCAAATGGAAAGCGATAATATCAGAATCGCAGAACCGTTCTCTAGCTGACGTTTTACTAAATTTCAAGGGCCTAAGTTTACGTTTCAAGTAAGAGTAACACAGATGTCTGCGGTGTGCAATAATATCAAGCAGTTTTTTATAGCGAAGAAGAAGAGTTTCGAATGCCACCAACCAGCCTTTGACAGGGTGATTTTACCTTTTAATATCCTGCTTGGTCTTGCGGTTTGGGTTCACACTAACAAGAAATCTTCTCTTTTGCGACAGTTCGGACTTATGTAACAGGAATCAATAATCATTGATAAGAAATTTTTTTCATTTTAGTAGCAAAAATAGAAAATAACGAACAGCATGCTGTCTATTTAAATACAGAAGAACATTCATAAATATTTATAACATTTTCATGTTATAATAACATAAAGTTTTTTGAACAATGATGCTGTCCATTATCCGCAAGGCTTTTTGTGACGAAGATAATTAGGACTCAACCTTTAGGCTGTTATTCGAGATTGTCTGCAAAAAGCAAGAGTCCGTAAT